CTTCTTCTTAGCACAAGATTCTCGGACTTGTCTTCACGTCTCTCATATGGACAATCATGAACAAAGTGTCTTGGGCTATCACAATTGTAGCATTTCCTTCGTCCAAAAGATCTTCCTTGAAGATTTCTTCCTTTGTTTGCCATGGTCCCGGAGTACTTCTTGACTAAGAGAGCTAAGTCTTCTGCAAAATCATTTGTCGGGCACGAGGTATCATTATCCTCCTCACATATCTCTTCACTCACTTCTTCCTCCCTTGAGGGTTGGCTCATCACTTTCTTGGCCTTCAAGGCAAGATTGGAGTTCTTGGTTGCTTGAGCTATTGCAAATGTTTTCTTGGACTTGGTTTCCAAAAGAACATGGGTAGAGAAGGTGGAAACAACTTGAGCCGAAGTCAATTTGTGATAGTCCAGACGTTGATGAACCATCATGACCATGGTATGCTCTGTGAGAACCATAGCATCTATGAACTTGTCCTTGATGAATTCATCATTTGCCCAAGTGCACCCAAAGGTTCTCAAGTTGAGCACAAGGGATTTCAACCTTCGGTAAACCTCTTCTGCGGACTCACCCTCATTCCTCACAAAGAGATTGACTTCTTGTTTGAGCAAGGCCAATCGAGATATTCGAATTGCTTCATCTCCTTCAAGAGCCTCCTCAAGGCAATCCCAAACTTCCTTTGCGGTTTTGAGAAGAGCAATGGAATCACTATAGTCTTCAGTCACTTTGTTGCAAAGCATGTTGTGCGCGGTAGCATTGAGTTGATCGTCAACTGCTTCCCTTGGAGTGAGATTCATTGGATCCTTGGGGTTGAATCCATTGACCACAATCCACCACAATTGAGTTGAAGCACTGCGCATGTGAGACTCCATATCTAGCTTCCACTTAGCAAACACATTAGCTTTCAAAGGGGGCGGAGGCCCAACAGGATTAATGCGGGGATGTTGCAAGGGTTGAGGAGAGTAAAAGGGTTCCACGACATTGTACTGGGGAACTTGAGTACGAGCCGGGGAAGCAAGAGGTTCCCTCGAGTCATCCGCATCAAGAACCTCATTTGGGTTAAACGAGTTTGATGCGGATGTTAATGGCTTTAGGCGAGCATCAATTTCCTCCTTGACCGAGGCACGAACCTCTTTCAACATAGAGACTTTGAGGTCCGCAAACATTGAAGAGAGAATTCCTTATTTGGCCCTTTCTTAAAATTTGCTTCCTTATTTGGCCCAAAATAAAAAAAGTTCCCTATTTGACCCCTAAAGTTAATTTTCTTCCTTATTTGACACTTTCGTCCATTTTAGACACTAAAGGGTTTAAGTGTGAAGTGAAAAGACCATTTTGCCCCTAATCCATTATGTAACTATCCTGGATATAGTAAAAAGAGCAATCAGTTCACACATATTTTAGGGATGTTTAATGGATGCTGTGCATATATGTGTATGCTCTAATATTTTGTTCATTAGGTAAGTCTTTGTGTGTAAAAGCATGCAAAATATCCGTAGAACTTTTACTAGCATATATATCAGTACAATATTTTTTTTATGAATAAGTATAGTACCATATACACTTGCAGAAAAGTACAGTGCCATAAACAATATTTTGGTTAGTCTCGCCGGCGATTAGCCCACGGCGCCGAGGCGACCTCGGCATGGGTGTCTACACACATGGCTCCATGATGTGCGGGTTGAAGAGCTGCGGCGTGGAGCCTGACGGTGCGTGTGCGTGCGTCTCCTACGAGCCTGGCGGTCTACGTGTGTGTCTTCCCTCACGGTTGCACGGGACGGGAGGCTTTATCAATCGCTGATAGCTGACGTACGTGTGCCTTGGCTTGTTGAGTCACCATTGGGTGCAAATAGGGAGTATACATGAGTGCATGCATGCAAGCCAATTACAAACTTGGCTAGTTTTGCATGCATGTATTTATCTCTTTTGGTAATTATTTCTCTTAGATCAAAGTGTAAAGCTTTAATCTTTTTGCAGCACTCTATTCTATATGATGAACTCTACAAATAAAGACCAATATTGAATATATTCTCCCACTCATAAATTTTCTAGCAACACATGGGACCTACACGTCATACAATAGTACTTTGATAGATCAAAGTTATATTTCTCACATATATACAGTTGTATTTATTTGTTTGCCGGTCCACCACGGCTTACATAAATAATTGGGTTTAGTGCATAAAAAGATCATCAACACTAATCAAAATATGGTACTGTATTGATCATAGATATGCTTGTACAAATTATACGGTGTTTTGTACAGCTTTTACATGTACAAATCAGATTACATAGGAAGAAAATATTGAAGCATACATATACATGTGCATCATCCATTGAACATCCCAAAAACATGGGTGATTGCTTTTTTACTACATCCAAAATAGTTACAAAATGCACTAGGGGCAAGATGGTCTTTTCACCTCACACTTAACACCATTAGTACCTAAAATGGACAGAAATGTCATATAAGGAACAAAATTTACTTTAGGTGTCAAATAGGGAAGACAATAGGGAAGACATTTTTATTTTGGGCCAAATAGGGAAGCAAATTTTAAGAAAGGGCCAAATAAGGAATTCTCTCAACATTGAAAGAAGATCGGCCGCGGTCAAGGGGACATTCGGGTTAGTAGTAGCGGCAGGAGCAATGACCGGAGCACCAAGTGTCTCAGTCGTGGCGGGGGGTTGGTTTTGACCATCCCCCGCAACGGGTAGGCCACCTCCCTCATTCCCTAGATCGACCATATCCTCTAAGGTTGTAAAACCTTATATTAGAGCACGAGGCTCTGATATCAATTGAAAGGATCGATACGGTCGACTAGAGGGGGGGAGGTGAATAGGAGACTATAAATTTTAATCTTTCTTGTGGATTTTAAGGCTTAGCGGATAAAAGAGTTCACTAGATATGCAACCAGGTGAATGCAACCTATATGACAAGCAAGCTCCAAGAAGAAAAGCTAGGCAACAAACTACTTAGCAAGCCAACAAGCATACAACATCAAAGAAAGGTGCGGGAAAGGATTAACCACAAGTGAGACGAGGACGCGGATTTTAACCCGAAGTTCACTCTTCCTTGGGGAAGAGCTAATCTCCGTTTGGAGCGGTGCCGGAGCCAAAGCTTGCGGAATGCCACCAAAGGCTCACCGTATTCTCCTTTGAGTCACCCCCAACGGATGAGCCTCGAACCACTTGGGGTTGGTCTTGAAGGCGACCACCACACCTTTACAAACTTCTCCGGAGCACACCACAAGCAAGGAAGCTTCCGGAGGAACCTCTAACCGCCTAGGAGCCCAAGCTCCAAGAGTAATAAGTCAATGGGGAAGAAATGTTGCGGGGAACGCGATTTGGTTTGGTCAAGTTGTAGACCGGGTCTTGCTCTCCCAATCCCCAAAGTTTCAACAAGTTTGGGTGGAGGGATTGAGAGTATTGAGCAAAATGGGGTGTAGCAATGATGGAGCTCAACAAGACATTAGGGTTAAGGGTTGGAGGAGGAAGAAGGGCCTTTTTATAGTGTTCATGTGAGGGTGGGGATTTCTGCCCGTTGGACCCCGTGCGCACGGGGTATCCAGAAACAATCGCACCACCCCGTGCGCACGGGGGTCAAAAGACCCCATGCGCACAGGCGGGGTATCCAGAGAGTTACCCAGTACCCCGTGCGCACGGGGTATCTAGAGAGTTACGCAGTACTCCGTGCGCACGGGGTATCCAGAGACAATCGCACCACCCCGTGCGCACGGGGTCAAAAGACCCCGTGCGCACGGGGTACCCAGAGAGTTACCCAGTACCCCGTGCGCACGGGGGTCTACCCCCGTGCGCACGGGTACCCAGTAATTTACTATTGCAACTTTCTGAGTACCACATCACACACACTAGGTTCATATGAGGTGGTTGGAGTGGGAAGGATAAGAGAGTAAGGCTCGGCAAAGGCATTCCCACACAACATTTGTCCACACAGACCCCTTTTAATAGTGCGGTCTTTCCTACGACTCAAAGCAAACCAAAACTAAACCTTCGAAGCGTCGAAAGACCACGCCTTTGTCCTTTTTGAAATGGGGGGTCGCACATCTCCATCGCGGGCGTTTAGAACCAATAACTTGAGATAAACTTTAGCAACCGATATTAGTTCAACTAACCACATTGTCATCACACCAAAATAGCTTAAGTGCCATTAGCACTTTCAACGTATCCACAAGGAGGGGAAGGAGTTGCACATCGACTAATAGGCAGTTGGCGTGAACAACAGACTAAGTTGCACATATCACTGGTAGGGAAAGTGAGGAAGGGTGTGCCAAGATTGAAAAACTACATATCCACTGGTAGGGAGGAGCATTTGCACATCGACTACTAGTAGTTGGCCCGGGCAGTAGACTAGTTGCACAATAGGTTGCCATGGTTTTTAGATTACAACCTCATAGAAAGTTGGATCATGCAGCTCTATAAATAAGTTTTGAAAAAGTTACATCATTCAATATTAAAGTTGCATAATGCAGTACTAAAGTTGCACCATATAGCATCAAAGTTGGCATCAATTTTTTTGTCGAAACATACTCATGTGGGATCTAGTTTCAAAGATCTCGTCACGAAGAATCCAACAACGAAGACAGGTCTGAATTTTGACACGCGGTTTGAAAGATATGACTTTTTAAAAATTTGAGAACCCAAAATAAACGAATATGGATCTATTTTCCCCTTCCGATATGACCGGTCTGATTTACATCTAAAGCAGATGACCACATGTACTAGCAAACTAGAAAAAAACACACATGCATGTGACATAGCAGCCGCTTGTTCTCTCCAACGAACACGTGCACTTTTAAGATTTTAGGAAGAAAGAAATATGTCAACTTAACTTAGACACACACTCCGCAGCCCGGCCCAACCCAGCTAAAGAACCAGTCACTACTTTGGTTCTCACCAGGTGGGACCCGCTTGTCGGTCAGTAGACACGAGCGGAGCACCGAGCAGGCGCGCAGCACATCATCTGTCACACCGGCGGCGGCGGCGGCATGGGGATGGGCGGTCGAGGTGTGGTTGGCGACAGGTGGTCGCAGCGCGTCCTCTGGATGTGCGCCATCGGCAGCGCCGTGAGTAAGCACCTGAACCAAACCCTAAACTATGGCGCTCCCTTACATTCCGTCTCCGCGTCCTCATGGTTGTTCCGTGCCGCGATCCGATCTGATGGTTGCCGCTCTGCAGGCCTGTACTTCGTGGCGGTGGAGAGGCAGGCGCAGAACCGCGCGCGGGCGGTGTCCGAGGGCTTTAAGGGCCTGGACGGCGCAGACGGAGGTGGCAGCCGTGGCGGGGAGGACGTGTGACTTTGGCGGCGCCGAGGTGAAAGGGCGTGTAGGCATGTGCCTTTCTGCTCGAAGCCTGAGACAAGTTAGAGTTTGCTTATCTGCTGCTTGTTCACAAGATTCACAGAATCGTTGCAATAAGAATGTACTGCTAATTGCTCCCTGTGTTGCTGTATGTCAATGTTTGGGGGCAAGAATTGTTATCTGACGACATGATGCTTTTTTGTGTGAAATGTGAGTTGGAAAATTCAGATTATGCTTCATTTCGTAACTGTGGCTCATAAGTTTATCGAGCTTGTTGGGTTGCAACTTAAGAATTAGAACTTAGTCTAAGAAAAACAATGGAGTATATAAGCAAATGAGAAATTTTCGTTTAGGTAATTCATAGATATAGGCTCGAGTTCCTGTATTTTCCATACTGTTATACTCTGTTTTACATTTCTCTAAAATGAGCCACTGTCTTTTAGGATTTTTGTGTGTGTATTCCTCGGTTGGGAAACCAAAAGGTAAACCAGGAGATGATCAACTTAAAATGAACATAATGGCCGCTCAGTGAGCACTACATTCTTTTCGTGCCTTAGTACCAATACTTGCTGCACCTCACTAATTGACTACTTTTGATCCTGATGGGCACTGGGTGACAGACTCTAGTAATACTGATGAGGTCTATCAAATATGGAATAGTCCACCAACCCATCATATGCTGATTTCTGGCAGTTTTTTCTTCTTCCCTGCTTCTCTTTTACCCTTACTGAATGATAAGCTACTGCAAGTAGGGTTTGCATGCTTGAATCCTTTTCTGTCTACATTGTAGAGTTCTAGCAGGGAGTAAAATGGAATAATCCAGTGCCAGTGTATTAGATTGTCTCTTATTTATCTATAGTTGGTAATCAACTTAGTGCTGAACTGCTGATTAGATTCATGATTTTTAAGTTTGGTAACTTTTTTGCCCCGTAGAAGATAAGCAGAAAACAGCAATAAATGTTTGCTTAAGTGAAAATTGATCCCAATTCCTGTCCATTGTAGTCAAAGCAGTCCAGCGACTACTTTAAGAATAAGTTCCTGGCAGTTAGTACTTTGGCTAGTGCTTCATGGTATCTACTGATTTATTGTATGTGCATGGTGCGGTAATTCTATAAAATTGTTGACACCTCTACATTCTACCAATTTAGAGAATAATGGCGTCTACAGCCTCAATGCATCACTAACTGGAAATGGATATTTAAGTGAGATTTCTGCTATTTATTCTTTTGACAGAACAATGCATGGTTCAGTTTCTGCTATTTATTTAGCAGATAGTTAATGGTTTTGTCTCTTGTACATGCTGTATAGTCAAAGACTTGGCAGTACATAAGGCAAGTAAACACTACCTGACCTTTGACTGCAATTTTTTTAACATGCTGTGATAATCTGTCTGCCATCCACCTCCCCTCCACCAAAAGTAACTCTGTGACTGGTGGTGTCATCTCCATGATTTTCACCATCTTGTTCTAGGGTTTGCAAAATATGCCTTCTGATTGATTTTTCATGTGGCTATTTCTAAGTTGCCTTACTTTATGTAAGTAGAAAGTTGGTTTTTATATAAGTTCCGTACCAATGCGTGGATATTCAGTTAGTAAGACTATAATTATGTGAGCTACGAGGAGTGAAACAATCATGATATTAGTTTGTTGTTTGTTTCTGACCATAACAGAACTAAATCCAATGATAATGCCTAGGATCATTATCTTTTCCAGTATATTCTTGATTACTGAATGCTCATATTTCATAATTTCAATATTCTGAATACATGGATGATTGAATCTCATCATAATAAAATCCCCTACTCAGATAATATCCATCAACATTTGTCTGTTTAATGATTTCTATTTTCCTATATCTGCATATACATTTTATTTCATCAGTTTTTTACATGAAAGCACACACCATCAAGTTGCAGTGCTTTGAACCATTGGCAGGACTCAAAAGCAGATTCATTTTGTTTTGCACTCAAATATGCATTTGTTAGCACATCGTTGTTTCTATTGAACAAATCTAATCGCACCTCTACCCTGAAAGTTTATTGCTCTAACATCTTTGCTTTTCCCTGCGAATTTTCTTAGAATATTAGACACACACAACTCTTGTGTTAGTGACTGAGTTTGGATTGTGCTGAAACTGAACAACATCTTGAAGGATTTTATGGCTGTACATCATTGACTAACGAGAAGGCTTGTAGATGGCTGGGGACAAGGCAAAGTATGATTTGTGTAATCTGCAAAAGCTAGATTTGTAGCTATCTCTTTACTATACCAGGAGTCACACTAAGTACAAAACAAAGGAATGAAGTTAGGTGATTACGAAGTGGCATGATTAGAGAGAGATTTCTCTGTTACTAACATTACCTGCTTCTTTAATTAATTAATTTATTCCATAGTAGTTCAGTTTGATCTATCCGCAAAATGCATAGGAATGTCCCATAGCACTTTTCCTTTATTAGCCCCTGTGCTAAGACTTGAACTCTTATTGCCTTTTACTTTATGGGCCCTTTCTGCGATGCCTCAGTTTTTCCATTTTCTTAATGGCAAGTGTTAATTTAAATATATGCTACTCCCTCTGTCCCAAAATATAAGAACGTTTTAAACACTACACTAGTGTCAAAAACGTTCTTATATTATGGGACGGAGGGAGTATATTATAGATCTAATGATCAACTTAGGTGCCCACTTCTTGTAGGTATGAAAGCCCGAAAATGTGAGGAATCTTCCATGCACAGAGGCCACTAATGAAAGGGGGTTGCAGGATTGTGATGCAAGAACGCATCATTCTTCTCTTGTCATCCATATAATCTTGAAAAGTACTTTTTCACAAGATGCTGGTTTATTCAGATTATTCTACCCTGTATCAGTGTCCAAAGTTTCGTTGACTATCCACATATTTCTAATCCAAAGTATTAGTTTGATAATACCATTTCTTATGCCTTATATTTATTTTTCGTGTTTATTTACTCTTATACCTGACATGAAAATCTATTAGTTTACTGAAGAAACATACTTTTGACTGAGCAATGGAGTTCAGCATGTGTTAGACCCAGTTCACCTTAGTCGATTCCACTTTTATTGTGCACTCTCGCAGGTCACATAATCACAAGATGCCTTGTAATAAAATCCATGATGATATGGTGGTTACGAGCACTCCAGCCTTCCAGATGCAGTTAGTGCTGTTCTTTCCGGCCTTTCCTTTTGCCCCCTTCCTCACTACTGACCCCACAAATTTTAATGTCACAATCAGCTTGATGCAGAGCATCTTTGGCATGATCTTCCTTGCATTGGTCCACCAAATAATCCCCGTTTAAACTCTAAACTTTTTCTGTAAACTATACCTAAGGTGAACATGTAAGACCAGGCAAGGAAAATAATAAATAAAAAGGTGCAAGAATGATTGTGACGTTTATGATGAGGACTGGAAAGTTTAACTAATTAAGAAAAAAGTTAAGGGGGGATAAGGGAATAATCTATGGAACTTATCAACGTTCTAACCGGTTTCTAGTTAGCATCTAAGGGTTTCTGCTTTGGTCACTTGTAGCATTTAGGGTGTGATAACTTATGTGCTTAGTGGTTTGAAAAGAACAAATTGAAGGTGTAAAGCCTACTGCTTTTTCAGGGAATTCGGTGTATCCAGCCCTTTGCCTGTGGGCTCCAGGAAAGATAGATTCTGTAGCTTGATTGAGTTCGTAGCCATAGATAGGTCTTCTATTTTCCTGGGACCATTTGAAGCAGATAGTGTAATTTATGATAATTTACATTTTCTATATCTGTTTAGATAGATGAAACCTACTGGTAGGGAGGTACTTTAGTAGTCTACCAGCTCATTTATTTATTGCATAAATTCCAACGTGCACCTTTAAGGTTGATGGATGGCCAGACCTTAGCCATGTAGTAGCATATTTTGTTGATTACTGTAGGTGCCGCAAGTTAGTGGTCAAGATTGTAATCTAATCTTGCACAACCGTGTTGTTCCTTGGTGCTCCACCTAAGCCTTAATGTACAATATCTGGCAACTCAGCATAGTTGACTGTTGGTCCAAAAGCCAGTGGAATTTTGTTCGAGGCATGAGGTATCTTAACCTTTTTTCCCTGAATAAAATAATGTGTTTTCTGGGCTACTTTATGAAATGACGAATTGCTTATCTCACTTTTACTGTTATTTGTATTGTTCCTTTCTTCTGTCAGCGTCCTAAATGTTTCGCTGATTTGCACTGCTGATTTCTGTAGGTGTCTATTTAGTAGTACTAGTATTTTGCAATGTTCTCTAGCTTCATCTTACATCCTTCCTTTCTGGAAGGGTTTGCTGAGCTTCTGCCTCTCCGTTGTGTTACCTTGTGATGAAAGAGAGAAAATATAACTATGACGTCCCTCTGCGTTGGAGCCTCTTGTTGGAAAACTGTACTCTCTTTTGGAGAATGATTGAAAATGCATGAGCGGCCAAAATGTTCTAATCTCAGAACTATCCAGACTGTCTTGTGGAAAGCAGGCCGACAATTTCAGGAGAAATAGGCTGTTGATGGGTATTTATTTTATATATTTATCTAGTTGAGAGGACAATAGTTTGTTTCCTTAGCTTCTTCCTGAAGCGCTGTTATAAAAAATGCAAAAGCTGGTTGACTAATTTGTCCTTGCAAAATCATTCAGGCGGTGGCGGCATATTTTTTGTGCTCTTTCTATACGTCTGGGGTGAAAGTTACGGATGCCAATGTCAGGAGACGCATCCTTGGTCCTTATATGTATGTTTGGCGTCATAGTTTTCTTCCATTTTTACCTTCTTGCCCTTTTAAACCTGAACTTGAAACCTTCTAAGTTTTTTTCACGTTACATGAATCACATCCATAAATGTCTTCAGGTTTACTCTTGACATGAGTACGTTTGGTCATTGAAGGCCTTTTATTATACTTATTACTAAATACTACAGAGTAGGAGTATATGTTTCTTTTCATCAATTTATTTCTATATTTGTGAGGGAGTTTCCATAACGAAATTGGATGAG